TTGAAAACGTTTTTGAGGATCGAACGTTATTCTCATGTTCATGGGGCAAAGGCATTGCATCAGAGTGAAGGTCTCTGGAAGACAACAGTAACGCCAGATTATAACTCAATCGATTTCTTCTTATCCGCGTCTTTTTTTGAATCGCTCAGAGGGCGAAACGATTAATTCATGGTGGTTATATCATCCTCTACGTCAAGCTGCAATCAGACGAAGTTACAGTAGTTCCACTTAACACAATATGAAAGCTTTGGCGGTTCCGGCGGTTCAACTCATCTTTGGACGTGACAGCGAGTGACAGTGCTTCGTGCTCCAGTTCTCGATTATTGTCCATATACTTTCACCAGAAGTGAAGTCTCTGTGTTGAGAGGAAATTGGCGATTGGCTTAATTTGATAAAAGTTTCCAAAAAGACTTTGAGAAATGATGCCGGCGATCATTCAGTAATGGTTGTCTTGCGTTCACCATACTAAGCAGATGATTGCGTATGATTCTATGTATAGAGACTTATTCAAACTATGACGTTCGACGGGAACCTACTCGCATCTCGTTACATTGGGTCAAAGAACCTCTGTGTAAGTGTTTTGATACTTTGAGGTGTATCAAAAGCCGAAAGGCCTCCTGGCGAAGGACATGCGCGAACCATTAATAATTTCAACTGATTTTGATCTTTAAGACCACTCTCAAGATGGCCGTGACATCTATCTCTTCATTATCCAAGGTAAGGGTGCTCGCGGTGGTCAATACCGATATTCATAACGGCGTTACTTTTCGATCCTTCGATGTCGAATTTTCTCATCAATTGAACCAGATGGTTGAAATGTTATAGCCACAAGTAGCAAGATTATTCTTAGGAGGGAATAGTTGACGACGGAGCCGGAAATGGAAACAACGAGTACAATGGATTAAACTTGCCTGCGGTCATCATAACCTTGTCGACAGCCTGATACATCAAGAATGAGTCACTATGGTCGATATCAAGGAGGTAGCGGAACGTGTTCGAACTACGAGTATAGGGTAGGTTGAGACTCTTTTCAGATCTGTGAAGCTTTGTATCGCCGTAGTATCAAAACTTTGGATAAACAGAAAAGGTTTTGTATCAGCCATTCGTATCACCACTGACTCCCCAGCTCCTCCAGTACCAATTGGTTGGGGAGTTAGACCACTTCTAACTATATGATCTCGGATCAGTTAGTCGAGTCAATACAGCATCGGATACCCTCGCATCCCTCCAAATTCTTCAATCTTATAGCTTCCTCTTTATCTCTGATTCACTTATTCATCGCATCTCTTTCGTTATTCTTTCTTTCCTCCCTACGATGTACCAGAATATCGAGGCCTAACACCTAACAGAGGGAAAATGTTGCTAGAAAGTGGATAATGACTGGCGGGTCGCGCAGGTGTATCATGCTGAATATCAAGACAAATTCGCGAACCAGGCGATTAAGCTCGGAGGGGTCTTTTGCTAATTAGAACGCTATTGGTTGCATAAATAAGTAAGTCAATTAGCATATCCCCATCTGGATTCGACGGTTATTACCTTCTCCGATTCGGTCAAAGGGTTGACATTTCAAATCATGACAATCTTAATGAAACTACCCGAGACGTGGGCACCAGTGACAACTGCCATCTCCTCAGAGAAGGGCACAACCTGACCACAATGAGAGGTATGACGAAGAAAGTTGAGATGCTCTTTCTTCAGTTTCGTTTTTTAACAGTGAAAACTCGACGTTAGGGTTCTGGCAAACTAATCGATGAATAATACTGGCTACTTGAAGGTACACAAATATCTGTGGAATATCCCCAGCAGTGGTGTAATCATATTCCGCGATCAGACGAACCATTAGGATGCCATATTGTTTGGACAAAGTTTATCTATGCTTTTCAAATGTGTTGTTCTATATCAGAATTCAATGCTGTGGTGTCTTGAAAGAAACCACAACTTGACCACAACCGAAACTCGATGACGGAGATCATTCAGACGCCTGGGATTGAAGTTCTCAAAAAATGTGGACGATATGGTAAACGGGTATCTGGTAAAAGTCTCGAAGAGATGGGTTCAATTGAAGTCTGTCAAATTTCAAAGCCAAGGACTGCACCGAAATATCCCTCGGACCCAAATAAATGAAATCGACCCGAGTTCCACTGATGAATTAAAGTAACGCTATTCCGACCATCGGCTATTGCAATGCTTAATGTTAGCTGGTACGTACCTGAGAAGTTGCGATCTCAAAACGGTTTCGAGGCCTCAGTCAACAATCATAGCATCTTGAGAAAGTGATACACGCCGAACTGGTGTTGGAGGAGGTGAATAAGATGAGGTTTGATAAGCGAGAGGTGTGTCATCATAATCATCGCTGAAAGTCGTGGCTGATATTTCAACTAGTGTTATGTTGACTTGGTCGATAAACACTCGATTCCGAAGCAAGAACAGAAGGAGGTTGATACAAGTAAAAAGTCGGTAGTTGTATCATAAGAGGCAGGGAGAGAATCCTTTGCTGGGTCCCTATTTTGGTTGGGCAAATGTTTTATACGCAACACTAACCCTCTAGATTCAAGTCACATTAGGTCAGGCATCAACACCTATCATATTTCATCGTACTAATCAGCGCAAACTTCGAAGAGCAATGTCGACGGTGAAGACCTTACCAGTACACGGGTCTGGCAGAGAAGGCGGTATTGTAGACTGATGACCTTTTGGGCGACGTCGAGGGTAGGACTGTTATTAAGCCTTGTATCGACGTAACATGGGGAGATTATGTTTATACGGACGTTGTGCTTGGCCCATTCGGCGCCAAAGATCTTGCCAGGATGGACAACAGCAGGCATTGACGGCGATAGTTGATAATCCAGGATTAAGATTAAACCTGCATATATCGTCCTCTGGCCATTTTTCGGAGTTCCTGGCTGCGTGCAAATCGATCTTTAACTTCCTTTTCAGCATCGTCAGCATGGTTCATTGATGTTGCTATCAAACTCGACTTGGAGTTAGAGCTTGACGGATCATCTTACTATTGGTTTTGAAGTCACCAGTTTATGGTTCCATTCCGACGGTATATCCAAAACACGTCACAATCATCATAACGGTGTCACGCCCAAAGGCGGCTACGGGAAAAATCTTAAATTACTCTTTATTCTAAATACAACAGGTTCCTCCACACAAGATCCTATGCATACATGCACCCAACCATATATCGCTGCATTCCTTCGGCCAGTTATTAACTACCTCTCAAGTGGTCATCGAATTTTACTCATAACTCAAAATCGAGCTACAAAAGGAATCATTCTACCAACTGGACAGAAAAGATCACCATCCGTGTTGATGTGGAGAAGCTCGGTACCTCAACGAGTCAATATGAAGTATAGCACGTGGCCAGCTCCATTGCATACCAGTGCATTCTGTGACAGTCGTCAAATATCTGGTACATCAACGTGAAAACTAAACTCCAAGGGCCAAAATCGGTATCTGAAGACACATCAGGATGTGCTTCTCCAAGCATACTACTTGAAATATTTCTAAAAAAGTCGAAAGAAGCTAACCAGCTTTCTGTTAGGTTTTAATACTATCACTAGAATAGTGAGACTAACCACTTTCGAATGTATTAATCGTCTGCATTGACGGAGCAAAGTATTCAGTATTTGAGGTGAGCGATGGACCAGGATTGCGATAAATCGAATTCGGAAAGATAGATCTGGGATGCTTTGGGATGTGGCCCATTCAGAATCAACCAGTAATGGTCAGAGCTCTTTTCAGAATAGTACGATTCATTTGTAGTGTTATTCTGTGGCGTATCGACCTTGAAACTGCCCAGAAACGAAATTCCCTAAAACCGACAAAATATTTTCAGGACTCTGATGATGTAGCTTCTCTGCTGCATCTGAGCTCCATACGATATGCATACAAACATCAGTTTTGCGGCTTGTTACGTCGCTTCATTGGTCGCACGGCTCTTCACTCCGCAGAAAAGTGCGGCTTGGTCATGGAGGAAACGTAAAGACGAAGTCGAAAACATTAACATCGAGTTTAACGAAGACGTATTTACCATGGTAACTTGTAGGACTTGAGCGGAATGGACCAAGGTTTGTGCTTACATCGGTGATGTCTTAATTGACATGCTCTCCACTTGTGTTCTCGAGCTGGATTCACTCTTGATGTGGGTGGAGTCCCACCAACTTTCTCTGTGTAGAGAAAATTACCGTACTTGCCATGTCCCTGGAGTAATCCGTCAGAAATTTTAGCCCCATTGCTTCATGCACACAAGGTTTTTGAGGGCGACGCCGGTGATGTATCAGAATTGTAGCTCTTCAATGAATTCGCTGAGGTCTTTTGAGATGCAATCGCCTAAGACGACATTGATGGAGTTTCACTGGTACATGCACCGAGATGATGAGGTCGGGGTCCATGTAGGGGCTATTGTAAAGATTTAATTTGTTGGGGTATTAGCAGGTACTTGGTGCCCAGAAAGTCTAATAAATTTCAAAGATACCAGAGCTGTATGCTGAAGGCACTTACAGATCGGATAACCATTCTGAAAAAACAGGAACTGGAGGGAACCCCGCTACTTCTTCTATGTGCTTCCATCTCCCGAGGTTGAGGACACTTTTCTTCTCGGAGATCAGAGCTATGTTGACCAAGGGTCGCCTGGATCTCTCTGAGTTTGGTTACCTCTGCTCAAGGTTTCGAGTGTTGAGAATATAGCTTCGGTATACAGAAAACCATCCCCGTAACTCGAACTTACGGAATTGAATTGGCACGCCCGGAGGCGGCTAAATTAAACAAAATATATTGCTACACATACTAAAGCTTTTACTAATGTTACAAGCCTCCATCCTAAAATCTGCAAGATGCCTGCTCTGTATGTCAAATTGGTAATTCTGTTTAATAGGAGTCCGATAGCAGGTAAATTAACCAGAGAAATACCACCATTGATGGCCTTGAAGGTCATATCGGAGCGTGGAGACCTATTAGGTCTGGTGTAGTGAACCTCTTGAAATTCAACTGCTTTAAAGAGCATCAGGACGAGTAAGATCGATCAGATTGGCCTCGGCAATCCCCGACTCAGGCCTCCACATTCCATGCTTCCCGAGGCCGGTGTCCAAGGAAGGAGCTTGAATGGTGGATAAATGCGCGGCTTCAAATCTCCGGCTGAATCTCGTGAGGAGATGAATTTTTGATCCGGCTATAAAATGCCTTCGATGGTATTGAGTATTCAGGTTTCGGTCGATGGTTCAAACAAGATTTCTTCTCCTTCTGTTAGCACCTTTTCAAAGGGTAGAGATTATTGGTCTTACCCAGCAGAAAAGACCAGCAGGGTGGCAAATGGTCGATTAGTCAAAGACTGCGAGTTTTTGGAACCAATTCTAGTGTATTGCTAATAGCTTATTAGTACCTGTTTTACAAACTTTCGCTTTGGTACAACTTACTTGTGCTCTGCTCTCTGAGATGGTGTGCCACCAGGGCGGCAGAACACGTCTTGAGCGCTCATCCGAGCGATGAGGCTGGAGGATTATTGCCGTGAAATGTTGGGAAACGAGACTTTGAAATAACTTGAGGTTAGTGAATATTCCTTGTTCAGCGAGTGAGATTTGGATGAGGGTATCTTAGTGCAGCTACTTACACAACGACAGCAGGGCTGTGTAAAGGTAGTTGGGTTATAGACCTGTTATAGACCCCATGTTGTAGCTAAATATTGAGCCACAAGTAAGACGAATGCTTCTTCCCAATATAAGATGATATCATACGAGAGTGTCGGATTGAAAGTTGAATGTTGTGAAAGATGTGTGTTGTGATCCTTGGTTGCTTCAGAGGTTATCTAAGTCGTATTTATTGTCAATGTCACATTGCAGGTGCTCGCCGAAGCGGCTACGGGTAACTTTCTGCATTGTTATCTACTCTAATATACACTAACATATACATACAAAATCTTTCGCCAGGCTCGTCCGAGGCTCGCTTCATGTGCATGGACCAAAATCCAATACGAGATGGACCATGACCTGATCCTCCCCAGAAGAAATAGACAACCGGCTAAGATTTCTTCACACCTTCAAGGGTTCCTTCTGTCTTGATAGTGTAAGCTTTTGTGTTATATTCATCCTTCGAGTCGGCTTCTGCAACTTTGATAAGATACTGCAATCTTGACTCTGGAAAACGAATTAACTGCTTGCATGCATGGTGCATGTTCAAAGACAGAGAAAAGGGATTGAAGGCATGAAGAAGGGGTAAGCAAGGAATTTCAAAAATCACAAGACCAAGTGGAACCTCGTAGCTTTTATATCCAGTGTGACGCTAAACGAGCAAAATAGTAAAAATAGAAAAGGCCACCCATTCGATCATATAAGTGTCTCTTTAGCATGTATCTGCTTTTCCTTTCTTCTTATCGGCTGCGCTAAAGCTTGCGGATTATCGTAACTTAAGGCTGATCATGTTCTGGGCTTGTATGCGATAGTGACTGTGGCGGGACTCTTAATCACATTGAGTTTGCCATGCAGTGCTAGTCCCAAGTATAGCTGTGCATGATTCTTGTTAGCTTGTATTCACCACCACTGCATCAATTATTGAAAATTCGTAACGCAGATAGAAAATCACTTACATATCTGCCATCAAGTGATTAAGCCATCGTCATGGGGTTACGGTGCTCCCGGCAGTTTGGAAAGACCGTCCTACTCTTGACTATCATGTGCAATTACTGTCTGATACCAAAGCTGGTCATAATTGGTATATTCACCCGCTAGTCTCGTTAGTAACGATCATAAGCAAGCGACAGCAAGTGCATCTTGCAATTGCGTTTAATCTTGCGTAATTATCCTCCTCCCATGTCATAGCAGCACACCAGTTCCCGTGTGTTCTTCCTCTCACTTTGACAAGGTCCCAGTCATTCCTTTCAGGTTTGTAATTTGCATGACATATTCATTGCATCCCTAAGTTACATTTTCGGGGTCTCTCCTTGGTATTTACACCACCACCAGTCCCTTGGCGAGATCTGCGGTAAACTTGAGTTGGGTATATTTTATGGTAGGAGCAAGTGGCTGTGTTAGTTGCGGCATGTTGTTTATTTTTCACGCCTCTATGATTGAGCTTGTGACTTCTTTCCGCGAGCTGCTCAAAGAAGAGAAATGTTAGCAGTGAATCTTTCTCGGCTCAGAATTTAGGGTACTGGACACTTACCAATGCCAATGAAATGTTCTCTGGGCTCTGTGCCTAGCTACATTCGGTTGCGTTGAGATGATAGATAGCCTTCATCATGAGCCAAGCACAGAGCCCCTTATTTCTTATTATTTAACATCATCTGCGAAGAACGACTATAGTGATTAGCCAAAGTTGAAAAGTGTCAAGATCGTTTACCTTTAGTTCAGCAGTTTGCTTTGGACTCTGTGGCTGACAATCGACAAGTATATCCTCGAATAAATAGACCTCAATTTGCGTCAGCCACAAAGCCCCTGATTTTCTTGTTTTTTAACTTCATCTGCGAAGAGCGACGTTAGTAAAGTGTCAAAGTTGAGAAGTGTCAAAGTTGAGAAGTGTCAAAGTCGTTTACCTTTGGCTCATCGATTTGCTCTGGTATGCCGTATCTGCGGCTGGCTATGCCACTATGATCAGGCATACTCCAGATTATATCAGCCACAGAGCCCCTTTGATCTTCTTGTTATTCAATTTCATCTGTAAAAACTGTCAGTGAATGCAGATGCAGAAAGAACCCAGATATATATTACCTCTAGCTCAGCGATTTTCTCTGGGCTCCGCGGCTGACCATGATCGATCGTCTTTTAAGGCTTTGCAGGCCTCAGCATGGGCCAGCCGCAGAGCCCCTTTATTTTCTTGTTGTTCAACTTTATCTCTAATGGAAAATCTTCAGTAAATAGTGAAACAAGAGAATTGATGGGTTGCTTACTTTCAGTGTAGACAGTAGTGCGAACCAATTATTAAACTGTCAGTTTGAAGGGTTGGTTGTAATTTAACTGGCAGTTGGAATGATGCAAAGGAAGCCAACTATTGTGATTAGTTCAAGCTTCAAAACAGGAACACTGGATGGATCGAAGACTGCAAGTTGGAGATCGAGGTCACAAAGCGATCACTCTATCTCTCTTAATAAAAACGATGATGTAAGACTTACTTTGATTGATTTGCTTCTATTTGAGAAGATCAAAGGTGTTAGCTCAAGCTTGGTCGAGGATTCGGAATGGACTTGAAGGTAGATAAGACTTTATAACAAGTCATAAAAGAATATTCGATGTTTTAATTACTTAAATAAATAACAATCTTGTGATTTCAACTGATTTCGGCTTTGTGTTGGTGGAAGGATAAAGGTTGGTTGGTGGAACAAAAATTTGTAAGGTAACTTAAAGAAGGTAACTTAGTAATGGATGGGGGTATGATCTAGTAGGTAGCTTTGCCGACTAAGCAATCCAAACTATCACTACTGAACAGACCAAAAAAGTCCTGAGACAATCTGAAGTAATTGATTATTGTAGTTATCCTATCAATTTGATCTTGATATGCTCTCTTGATTTCCTCGAGAAAGAAGGAGGTCTGTACTCCCCCTTGTGAATAGCCGATCATGTGATTGTATCTTGACAACATTTTTTTTGGTGAAGCTTTTGATAAACTGCAGATGAATATTGTCTTAATTGATGGTAACCTTGGTTTATTTTTATTATAAAGATAGTAAACTGTCTAGAGTTGGTCAATAAAGTGACATATTGCACAAAAAACGTACGTTGGATTTCTAGGGTGTATTTCTATGGTGTATAGTACTATGATAGTGATATTTTTGTATTCTTTTAATGCCATGGTATGCCCGTAACAACTTGATATCCATCTATTACACCTAGAAGCCTTGATTCCATGATTACCAACGCCTTGTGTACCCATAAACATAACTCTGAGGTCCAATTTTTCATTCCCCAGACTCGAGATTTGTTCAACAATTTGATAATTATCCCAATCTTACCACTCTGATTTCAGGAAATCTTCGAGAACTATACTATTTCCTTGAGATACCATGTCTTCTCTTCGAGAAAATACCTCAGGCTGGGCTGTCCCTGCTTCAACCCATATCAATGCGGGTAGCTTGGCCGGCCATGGCAGAACTAGAGATCAAAGACAGAGAGGTGGAGCTCCATTCTGAGGGATTATACCTCGCAAGATATACTAAGGAGACATTCACGATGTCTAGCTGTTGAATTTATCCTATTTTCATCCGCAATCCCTCCTATAAGTATCCTATCTGCGAAGCCCTCGGCCATTACCTTCACCACCACCATCACTAGCTTTCATATTGACGAACTTTCTACCATCCTGAACAAGTAAATAGTGGTGATGTAGGAATTGTATACAAGTACTATTAGCTTATACTGGTGGTATTGTAGGATCCATGTGTTTTTCAATGGTGGTCCAGTTTGCATGGTAACTCTCCGATTTTCAAAACTCCCCCGTTAACAATCACTTCACTTCATCCTCCCCACAATCATCATATTCCCCTCATTATCACCGATTCACTTATCTAGTGACAGGAAATTCCTACATATGAAAATACGCCCACTATCCCACTATACAGCGTATCATCATAGAATAGCTGCTATACGCGCAAATAATTCACCCCTCACCAATGAATCTACAACCACAAGCATTACTTTCCTCCTTAAATTTTCCTTTTCATTCCAGAATTTGTTCTTCCACATCTGCCCAGAATCAAAAGAATCGATCAGCTAGAGGTTTGCACGAGCTCGCGTGCTTCCATGGGGACTGCATACTTTGGGTCAAACAAGACAATTTCTACCTATAGACTGATAAGCAATAAGGGAAGAAGGTGGTCTCGTTCAATATCGGGTTTTGTTCTCATCTGCTCTTCGCTTTATGGTTTTTTTCTGAGCTCCCACTATCGTCTGGTTGACTTGTCTATCGGATGATAGTAGCGCTCAATATAAGGAGAGACAATGAAGATGAAAGGTTGCTATTACCCGTTTGCAACTTTTTCTTTAGTTCAGTAAATGACAGTATAGAAACTAACAAAACATAGAAGATTGACAGCAGCTCAAGGATAGATGGATAGACAAATATTCAAATTAAAGCAACTCCACAACCTCCACACATATCTTTCCATGGTAGGCTAATCGTGTGGATCATAAGATGCAGGTCTCATGCTACAGCCCTCCTTTATCGCTGTGTTTTCGGTTCTGCTCCTGATATATTTAAGAAGGAGATGTGATTGATTGACTCTTTTAAATATATACCAACAAACGGATGATATGAAATGTTCGAATTGAAGTAACTCCACAATTTCTACACATATTCCTCGATAATAAATGAATTGATATGGAACATGAGATACAAATCTCATGCTACAGCCCGTATCAAATTTGAGGTTTTGATTCTCACTCATAACTTATTTAAGATGGAAATGTGATTAATTGACTCAACTATTTGCAGTACGAATATCAAAGACTAGGATATAAGCTTCGCGACACCAGTATAGCAAGGAAGTAAACACAAAGCATCCGAGTCCACCTCCTCTACATACTCTACTCCTAACGATCGAACTCCCCTCTTTGTAAATAATTGGGCTAGTGTCCTATTCGTATTACCCTTCTAACACATATTCGCAAAAACAAATAGAAAGATAATGGGAGTTGCTATACGACGATATTTACTAAGGGTAGTAATAAAATTATTATTTGACAACAATAATGAAGCGAGAAATCAAGGAGAGCACCAGAGATTAAAGATGGAATGAGACTAAACCCTTGCTAGTGCCCAACAAGTTTCCGCCGCTTCCTCCGCCGCGTCTTGCCCGATTTTCCGGCTGCCAATTTCTCTCTTTGATAATACCATGGCTTACATCAAGGAGCCCATTTATACTTGTGCTTGACGGGCAGATCTGATCTTGGTTCGATCCAAGCTAATGGCGTACTTTGTTTGAGCGAGGTCATTCCTAAGCAACGCACCGATCCAAACCGAACTCAGCGTACAGTATAAAAGCTACAAAGCGCAAATTCAAAATGGCCAGAAACCTAGAAAGACTATTCGCTCAATGAAGCTTGAGGAACTCCTTTGAAATTAAACCTAAACGGTTTGATAAATCTGTGAGATCCCATATTGTAAGACTTACATCTCTTCCAATTCTTCACACGGTGGTATTCATCCCATGCGTCCCAAGCGTCTCATACGTCTTACACATCGTCATCGAAGCAGGTCACTACATACCGAAATCCCCATCATTTTCGCTGTCACTACTAGCCCAACTCACACTTCCACCATTCACGGTGAACAGTTAGCCCCAAACTTAAATTCTCAACACTCTTCCTTCAAATTCGAGCCACCATCACACCCATACCAATCCCCCAAATCTGCAAATATTCTTCTTAAGTCGGTTCACATCTCCACATAGCATCCGCCCTGCTACTCTTTTTCCTTGCTGATTTGCTCCGTGTTTGAACATCCCTGTAACGGTCCTCCCATATTATATAGTCCTTTTACACCATGCCTCTCCAGATATTATGACATAATATGACATAAAAATGAATGTTCCAATTCACCATCTCGCCATAAGTACTTACAAATTAAACATTCTAGCCTGGCACATTCTTTAGATGCTTGATTAACTCCCGCTTTACTGGTCTGATTGATTTCTTCAACTAGAATATAGTGTCTTGATCATGAGACAACCGGTCTTGCCATAGAGCATATGAATACCTAACTTGAAGAAAGAAACTACTCGTAGATTCGTAAGCGAGGTAATGAATTGCTGAGGGATTAAAACCCCTCTACATTCAGTATTTCGAATGTGTTGATGAGTAAGTCCTTACAAAATCCTTGAAATGTGTGAGGGGATTTGGGTCTTGAAGTTGTGCATATAGCTGTGTAGTTTATGGGCTAGAATTCTGGGGTTTTGATTCTGATATTCGTTAGATAGGGGTATGCTGTGTCGTAATGGGATGGGGTTGAAAGGGATAGGATGGTAAATAGTGAAGACAGAAAAGGAATACCAGATGATACGATGCCGAGTTTCAGATAAGAGACGAGCTAAACTAGCGAGTAGACTTAACACGTACAGCTAGTATAGTACCAGAGAAAGAATGCGAACGCTCTCGTGAACAAGTCACCAAACCCTCCAAGATATCAATGACAACTATTTTCATATAAATTATAATCCAAAGACCAAGGTCCCAACTCCTCAAACAATACTCGAGTAGTGAATACAATACAATCAAGGCAACCAAATTCTCTTCAACCAAACTCATACGCAGCCACAGTGATGACACAGTAGCCAGTAGCCCCCAGCCCATACATACATTCACCCCCCCCCCCCCCCCCCCCAAGAACTCAACAATCTTCAATATAAAGATCCCAGCGAAACCCAGTATCGATCTTGTTACCTGTACCCCATGGATAGATGTAAAGATCAAAGAATCGAGATACGGATCGCGGTCTGGATTTTGCCGACGAGTGCTTTTTGGAATTTGCGTTCTTGATATCGTTATTGAGATATTGTCCGGAGTAGTTTTATATTTGCCGAATATCTCGGTTTAGAGATTTGCTATCAGTTACACATAAGATATTTCTTGCTGTTTATAATTTAATATAGTATTTTTGCTATTAGTGACCAAATCTATAATCAATATTTTCTGTTTGTCGAATTCCGTTGTAAGTAAGTAGGTAAGTGAATATCACCCACCAATTACAAATGTAATATACAGACGAGAATATTTCTTTGCGTGATAATAGACTCAAGGCTGAGTCGAGCTCTAAGCTATTACTTCGGTAACCACTCGTTCGGTCGATTGGTATTTATGATATCGATATTGGCTTTAGCTACTTCCACACGTGTACGCATTTTTCAAGGAGGAATTTCCTCGTGGATTCGATTATAATTCGCTGGTTAATTTCGATATCAGATCAGATCGTGAATAAAGCTAGTAGAATCTAGAATCTAGAATCTAGGTTAATGAAGAGAGACACCAGCGAGCTGCTAGCTATACGGACAAGTAAGAATTCACTATATTCAAATCTAAATCTAAATCCAAAACAAAAAGGTGAGAAACCCCTCGAATACATAAACCTCAAGCTTCGAGCGAAAATCTCATGATCTATTCCAATGCTTCGAGTAAATACCACTGGGTTTCAAGAGCTCGACAGGTGTATACCTCATTTTGTATTTATTTGACTTGATTCCTATCTTGTTCTTGTGTTACTGTTATATTTATTGCAGCTTGGAGGATACTCGAGTAGTTAGATCTTAAGTATGGTATCTATAAGAACTATCTTACCGATGGTAGTAAGAATATATGGATTCTGACGATGAGATGAAAGGAGATGAGATGGGTTTGAAAGTGTGGTACTATTGTGTTGTCGATTATTTCATTCATTAGTTTAATATAACATAAATATAAATATAAATACAAATACAAATATAATATTTGTATGTTCTGTTTAATTATTTAATCAAAATCATTCTAAAGAAATCTTGTTTAAAACAAAGGATATTTTTATTAATTGTAATATATATTTTATTTGTTCGATATGATAATCCCTTCTCCAACCAAGTCTGCTATCCAAGTATCTCGGGACTCGAGACTAGAGATCGAAAACTCGATTCCATGCAATTAACTGATTGCATAAAAAGAAATCATCCGAAGGAGTTAGATGAGCAAATATGCCTGTCTCGACATGATTGATCGTCCCCTTTCCACAGTGCTGTCAATACCTAATAACCGATATTCAGCAGTGTATTCCCAATCATCCCGACGGACCAGCCTTCAGCATGTTCTATTCCATCGTTTCCGACAAGTGAGAACGACTATGATATTGCAAGATGATTGCATTCGCGCATCTAATATAATAATGTTATAACAGAGTGACAAAGATAGGAAACTCTCAATACTCATATTCACCACTAGCATAAGCGGGGCAAAAGGTTACTAACCAAACCTGTTTGCTCCTTTCTCTTCCTCTCTTCTCCATAAGGATTCAGGAAGAAGCGAAGCTTGGGGCACTAGCCTAGTACATACTAGTATAGCAGCAAGCAGATGTGTCAATCTTTCATTTCGCATTTATAAAGTCCTTAGAACATGGAAATACTTGTTGAATAGAGACGGTCGAAAAGAACAGAAAGCGGTCTTACAATATTGCAAGGGAAATGGAAGTTTGGCGTGGGTCACATTGATGACATGAGTTGAGAATGCTTATATTTAGGTTATAGAGCAAGTTTGGGGGGAAGAGGGGGTCGATGTTGGGAATAGAGGATAAGGTCGGGATTGAAATTGGAATTGGATGAGATGGGATGGGATGATTGTGGAGGTATCGGATGAGTGTGCTGTTTTGGATAATGGATTGGGATGGGATCAGGAGATAGGAGAAGAGACTAGAGTAATAGATGGAAGAAAGAGTAAATTCACAACCAAAGAGATAAGAAACGTGTGCACTAACATCACTGAACTTTCCTCGGCGGTAAAGAATAGAGGATTCGGTCTCTGTGTATATTTGAGGGCCTCTTGCCTGCTAAACAGAGAGTGTGGGCAGCAAAGGCGACAAGACCATCCTTGTAATGTGGTGGAACATGCATGAGGGCGGTCTCTTGATTGTCGCGTGATTTCCCTGCTCTAGATTTTGTATGATATGGATAACTTATAGCAATGGCAGTGGCAGTGAAAATACTTATTTTCATCATTTTACAATCCCATCACCGTTGTCATCTAATGTGCCTCCTTGTGTACCAGAATGTATTCTCCAAAGTTGTCCAACAGAACCTCACACGTCCGAAATTTTCGAGGCTGCAAGAATATTGGCATTCAATATATAATTTGGTTGAAAGAAACCTTTTCCAGAAGGATAGTGATTCTCTTGTTCGAGACACCAGACAAAACTTTAAATAAAGCCAGGAACATCCGAGAGGTAGAATGTTTGAAAGATTATCATTCACTACAGTTTCCATCAAGTCCCTTTCAAACCATTCGATAGAGTTTGAGATCTAACAGCCTTTTGCTGTGCCTTTTCAGTATTCAAACCCCATCCCCTCAAGAACGCCAATCTCATAGCCGCCCCAATATACACAAACCCTACATTTCCCCAAGCCATCTTATTCCACACCATGACATTCCAGTATATCTCCCAGCCCAATCCCCTCACACTATACAAATGACCCAGATCCGCCAGCAGCAAACCGAACAGAACAGTTTTCCAAACCCGCAGATCCGATGTGGCGCGCAGCACCAAAGCTTCGTTGATGGCGAAGAGTAAATAGAGGTTTGCGAGCTGGGTCAGCACAATGTTGGTGGAGAGAGGAATGCTGGTTTCGAGAGATGGGGAGGAGGAAAGGTCGGTTAATTGCAGATAGGTCAGGGGGCGGAAATAGGCGTAGTAGGCGCCGAGGAGGGCGGAGATAGGTTCAATGACTAGGAAAAACCAGCTATAAGCCATCGGTAGTCGGAAATCTGGTGAGACCATTTTAGGTTTGAGGGATTGAAGGCTGAGTTTCTGGGGAAGCTTGTATCGTGCCGAGGAGTGCGGAATGAAGGTTTAGATGGTGGTTATTAGAGTTGTAGCTGACTCTTGCGTTTGTGAATATCAATTTGCCGAATTACCTAAATACCTAAACCTAAATACGACCCGCCCCACGGGTAAATTTTTAGGAAATGTTGATACACTAACATTGAGATTTTGGTCCGGGGATCAGCATCCAGGTACCTGGTACAGACAGATACCGGTATAATATACTATCTAAACTCGAGTAACTGAGATTAGATCAAGTCAAATTTGGTGTAATAGTTTCTATTGCTTAAATAGAAATACAGAATTTGACTTTTCGGTCTAATTAACAGCTAGACCAAATACTCGTATAACTGGATCTGTTCTTAATTACTTGAGTTTTAGACAGTATCGATATATATAGGTGTATACACGAACTAATATACAAATATACTATTGAATTTTATAAATTCCAATTCTAATATTCGAAACAATTAGAGGCGTTTCTTAATAATCATAGCTTTTCTACACTATAATAATATTGATTATAGAATTATATCAATAATAAAGTAATAAAGAACTCTTCTATTTCAGATACAAATATTAGGAGCTTAGAGATAAATATAAACTTTCTTTGTTCACCTCTATCTCTTCTGCATCGCCTCTTTTTGATGGCGGTTGATATGAAAAAGATCTACTCGAGTAACATCTAACGAGCAAACGGCAAATCCGAGAGTTTAAAAGTAACTGTAATACAGATCACAAAGCGAAATGCCTTTCCTCTTTCCTCTCCCCTGATTAGGTTTATCCCTGCCTTACAAAATTCCAAATTCCCTTATCCGATATCCGATGGTGAATATGATTATTATTTTTAATGAGAAAGGATTCCTTCTTTATATCACCGCCATCTTCTATTTCTTCATCTTCCTCGAACCTTCCCTTCAAAACATCAACCTTCCTTTGATTTCATGATTTCTTGATTGACTGAAGTATTTGTTAATTTTTTTTCTCTTCTTTCTTCTTTACCCTCTTGTTGAATTCACCACAGTGACCACACACATAGGAACTCTCATTCATCACACCGCCCCCATTGTTTGCCCGGTATTATTTTCCCCGGATAAACAACTTCATCCTGCAGGAACCATATTTTTCGTCCAATTAATCGAAGACTGACTTAAAAGACGGTTTATCGACCTGCCAATTTCTTAGGAGTAAGTAAATATACCAGAATTGCTTGTATCAGCAGCGACAACAATGACTCGAGTTTTCCCAAAAAACGAATGCGCACCTTCTCAAGGGGCGCGAGACACAATCAGTGACCCTTATTCGGATTGGAATGCCTCTAGCAGTGCTCCTGCTCCCTCTCATTCGATTCGCAATACTCCCGGCAGTGTTCCTTTTCATCCGATATGGAATCTCCCCGAGGAATCTACATCTGACAGATCTACACCCAAGCCGATCCCTCCGCCAATTCGCAGAATGGGACTTGCGTCTGTTCCTATCGAAACGGATCTCTCAGAGAGGATGTCAGATTTGTCAGTCGGTGGAATTCCGGAAGAGCCCTTAGATGCGAGGCGGGCGAGTGGCATAAGGGGTCTAATTAGACGCGCCTCGGTATCGATAAAGAATAGAAAGCGGAGGCATTCGCATACTACCGAAGAGCGACCATCATCTTCCTCATCCCCATGGCACAGATTACGACAAGCTACAAGTTTTAACAGAAATTCGAGGTTGTTATCGCCTCATGGTGATGGTCCTGTGGATTCCTGTTCAGAATTAACATCACCGATACCTGGATATGGCGGGGCACCGCCGATCATACCGACTGGTACGGGTGGCGCCGCAAGAGCTACGGCAGCTGCGCAAAATCTCTTCAAGAACCGACAATTTTTAGCATCAGAAGATACACAGCAGAATGATCGGGAAAGTGCTATTGGCATAGCGATGACTACGAATATTGAATCGATGCAAGCCTTAGATGCGTCAATTAGCAGGGTAGATTTCGTACGAGTCCTCCCGCTGGAACTTTCTATTCAAGTCTTAGCGTATCTGGATTATCGCTCTCTCCTCAATGTCGAATTGGTTTGTCGCAAATGGGCATCTACGGCTGGGTCACAACATGTTTGGCGTGAGGCTTTCTTAAGACAGAAATCTCGGGGTTATGCTATGAGCGGGCCAGTTGCGCCAGGAGCAGGACTTGGCGTTCCGACATTAAACCCCGACACGGATTGGAAAGACGTATATCGCATCAAACAAATATTGGAGAAGAGGTGGAGTAGGGGGATGGCAACGACAACATACCTCATGGGGCATTTGGATAGCATATATTGCTTACAATTCGATGAGTAAGTTATTACTGCAGATTATGCACACTACGACAATCACTAACATCGTTCATAGGTCCAAAATTATTACGGGTTCTCGAGACAGGACGATTCGAGTGTGGGATTTGAAAACTTATACTTGTACCTTGGTTATTGGGCCTCCAGGAGTTGTGAACGATTCCTCTACCATGACTGCTAGTGATGGTACTCTTCAGCACCATGCGACCGGTCCCAATCAAAAACGATATGCCCAGACTAAACCACCAATGGTCTCGTTCCCAGTTCATCATGACGCATCGATTTTGTGTCTTCAGTACGACGATGAAATCCTTGTAACTGGTTCATCAGACAGCACATGTATCGTGTATGACATCAAGAAAGGATATAAGCCAATGATGCGTCTACGTCATCATACCGCGGCTGTACTTGATGTTGCGTTCGATGATCGATATATCGTTACATGCTCGAAGGATGTTACTATCTGTATCTGGGATCGTCGCTCGGGGGAGTTGATTAAGCAACTTCGTGGACATTCAGGACCAGTCAATGCAGTACAAATGAGGGGAAATACCATCGTTAGCTGCAGTGGAGACTTCCGAGTCAAGTTATGGAACATTGACACGGGCAAGAATATTCGAGAATTTTCCGGTCATACCAAGGGTTTGGCCTGTAGTCAATTTTCCGAGGACTCAAAATACATTGCTTCGGCTGGTAACGACAAAGTCATCCGCATTTGGGATGCTAATACGGGAGAATGTTTAAAGAAAATTCCGGCTCATGACAATTTGGTTAGATCTTTACATATAGATTCGGCTAGTGGAAGATTGATTTCAGGCAGCTATGATCAAGATATCAAAGTCTGGGATATGGAATCTGGACGATTACTTCTGGATTTCCCAAAGTGGCACGCTAGTTGGGTTTTGGGGGCCAAGAGTGATTATAGGAGGCTTATCAGCACGGGACAGGATCCGAAGATTCTTGTCATGGACTTTGGGCAAGATATCAAGGGGATTGAGAAGTTAGAGAGTATTACAAGGGGTGGGAGAAGTGGGAGGGGAAGGAATTGGGAATTATAGAGAGTGGTAGCGGGGGCATTTGATTTTGGGATTTTGGAATGTTGGAACTTTAAAAGAAATTTTGGGAGTGGAAAGTTTATTACACGACAAGCTTGATAATTTATAAAGAGAAAGAGACCAAAGAAGAAAGAGAAAGGAATGGATTTGGACTTGGAGTTGAATAGATGATATTATAAGAGGGAGTGATGGATGGATTGGGATTGGGATTGGGATTGGGTGGGAACGGAACGGAATGGAATGTTTTTAATGAAGGTTTATGTATGGGTATGATATGGGCATAGGGCATTCGATTGGGGACCGGTATTTATGGGATTGGACGTTCATTTGGTTGGGACGCATTAGATGAGATGAGATGAGACGATATCGATTTTTGTGCATACATTTCGAGTATTACTCGAGTAGATATTAGGTGTTAGGTAGATACTGCTCTTGAGTGGAATTAGAGTTGAAGTTGAATGTATCATGTATGAAGGAAGCTATAAAATTGATTGGTATTCTATTTCGTGTTATATATATGCAATTACTCGTACTGTGTGAGTAGATGGAGTTTGATTGTGTTGTTTGTGATAGGACTTCAAAATTGTACCCCACATTCTTTTCTACCTCGCATTGATTAATTTGATTGGCTAAATCACCAAAAATAACCC